ATGTCCAGCTTGTGTATGTATACTTAGTGATGATCGTTTAGCTGTATCTGATTGGGGCAATGATCGAATACAAGTGTTTAATAGTGACGGTGATCATTTATTGACAATCGGCCAACGTGGCAAACTTTTAGCAGAATTTTTTCGTCCATTAGGTCTCGCATATGATGAAACAAACAAAAAATTATTTGTTTGTGATGAAGGAAATAATCGTGTAACAATATTTAATAGTGATTTTACTACAACAGAACTTGTACATTCGAAAATTGGTTTTCATGGACCATATGATATATTATTACTTAAAGATGGTCACATTATGATATCTGAACATCGAGCACATCGTTTACAGATTATATAAATTAATAATTCTGTTCGTTTTTTTTTAATAATGATTATTACCTAGGTCAGATGTGTACTGGAATATACGTATGTTTGTAAAGTTTTTTTTTTTCAAAATCCTTATAAGAAATTAATACAAGGTATATTTGAAAAAATGAGATAAAGAAAAACTTCTATTATATACATATATATCATAATTCAACTTCTTTTTCCTTATATATAATAATGGGTTTGATTTCTATTCAAATTTGTATTGTATTTGATTACAATAGTAGACATCCTTTATAAAAGCTATATTTTGGCATGAATGAAAGATGATTTATTGATGAACAAACAATTTCTTGGATCTATAGATAATTTGTATTGAAATGATATATAGGCATGATGAGTGAGCAAGATTTTATCACTTTGATTATGATTGATCACAAACGTATGTACTTTTCATTCATTACTTTGATATGAAAGAGAAATAGTTCACTTAGGAATAACAGAGCCAAAAATCGAATTACGTAAATGTATCATAGCCAAAAACACTTTTTTGTACAAGCTATATGTTTGTCATAATCAAGAGATACTTGTTCTGCTCTAGAACATGTCTACATTTAATAATAAAAAAGTCGCCTCGAAAGTCAAGCCATATATTTATATATTTACGCAAAGTGGAATAATTCGGTAGCTTGTATGTTCTATTTAATTAGACTATGTCTTGAGTTAAAAGAAACTTAAATTAATGAGACATTGATAACAAAAAAACAATCTAAATAAACGTGGCATTGTTGATTACTATAGAACAATTGATAAATGGTTGCTAAGTAGTTGTGTATCTATCAGCATTTATTGGTTGGCAGTGATGACAATTGAGAAATGTTATGAATCTAATTGTTATTATTAAAATAGTCGTTTTTATGTTTATAATAGTATTCAAAAGAAATATTTTCTCGCTTATGATAATAAATAACGTCATCCGTCTCAACTGACGCTGATTGTTTACTAGATACAAAAACAGTGACAATAAAAATATGTTAATCTCGCATGTGATATTGTCAATGCAAATAATGTCTCTATTAAATACGATCGTCTTCATTGTGTCAAGTAAGAATATTAATAATAAGTAAATCTTTTTCAGTGCCTATTAGTATACTTAAAAGTAAAAAGTAATTTTTATTTCTTCTGAAAGTATTGAAAAGGACATTTTGCCATCAAACTTTTAATTAATTAAGTAATTTAACTGCTTTCTACTGATCAATATACTGCTTTTGAAAACAGTTTCGTTCGAAGTAATAAATATGCTCCTAAGTCACTTAAAGACTATGATGTTTTCAACTCACATTAGTGAAATATGCTATTATATATAGATACCTGTTTGCAGCCGTTTACAATGAAATATGATATTAAAGGACAAGTGATCACAAAGTCGCAAGGAGAAAAAAGTCATTTAATGACTGATTCTGAAACTTTATCGAGTTTTTGACCAAGATACAAGATTAATGAAATGAAAACTATATATTTTGATTGAGTCATAACTGCTCTGTTCAACCATATTAAAATAAGAAAAATCTATGATTTTATAAAAAATACAGCAAACAGAACAAAATTGAAATAAAAAGTGGCCTAGTCAGTCTGTATATTATTAAAGACGTATAACCGTTTAGATGTTTATCATAGGATTGAAGATAAATGGTCTATAGTTTATAATAGTAAATAAGTTCGCCTGCTTCACCGGGTGCGGATTGTTCACTAGGTATGAAAAGAGTCATAATTAAAATGTTTTGGCCCTTCCATGTGGTGAGTGTCATAGTTGGATTAGCAAACGCTTGACTTCCTCCATCTGTGATAATTGATACTTGATCGGCATTGCCTGTCTGTGGATCAAATATAAATGTACGCCAAGTACCAAAATCGTTTGGTTTATATTGTCCTTCGATAACAGTGAATGCAAAATCATTAAAATTCGAAAGTGCATCTCGATCACCAATATTACCTTGTACACCATAGTGAAGTAATGCATTATCAAAGTTAGGTTGTTTACGAATTTGAATCCATAGATTAAAATTTTTTAATGTAGCTCGAGCTTGTCGATCAACAACACAGTTATCATAAAAGTGAAAACCAACATCAATATTATTTAGTGTTGGTTGACCATATATATTAGGAGTACCTTCAGCACAACGAGATAATGTACGTGGAACAGAATAGTTTTTTTGAGAAGTACCAGATTGTAAATCTGACCATGTCGGATAAAAAGCAAACCTTAAATGGTTCCTAGGCTCTTGTTCCCATGCAACAATATAACCTTGAGGTTGATCACTAGGTACAGCAATTGTTGGTTGTGAACCAAAATAAGCTAATTCTCGAAGCCATGTCCAATTTAGAAGATCATTCGATAAAGCTAAATTAACTCTTGGTACACCATTGATATATGTATGGTAGACACCAATAAATTCTTCACTATCAGTTCGTTTAATAATTTTAACGCAATCCATTGTATTTCCAAGATGATCACGTGAACTATATCGACGTCCATCAGCTTGACGAACATCACTGATGAGCGCTACAAGTTTATGTCGTGCATCATCCGAAGGAGGCTGTGCATGGGTAAGACTTGAAATACTACTTATTAGTACAAAGATTATTGGCCACATTTCGATAGCTCGTGTCGTACAAAGAGTTTATTAGTAAATATATATATATACATAAGAATCATCGACAGCTGTGCTACTGTCTCACCAATGATTTTGTCAATAGAAAACAGTAAAATAATACGAAGAAAAAAAGTGTCGTGCGTGGGATAAAGAGAACATGACGATAATTGGGTATAATTGAGCTAGTCTTACTACATGTGAGAGATAACTGACAATGCTACTTCAAGCAATCGACTTTATCTTTGCAATCGACATTTAAGTTAAATATTTTGACCATGTACTTTTCGAAGCATGAGATAACAACGAAACATTTTTGTGCCATGACATAAATTTATTATTGGATCAAAAGAAAAAAGGTTCAAAAGAATTATGGTCACTTTCATATATGAATCGTTTGCAACTTTGGAAGATTGAGTTTCAAAAATTACTGCCTCTAAGAATTAGTAATCACCGTTCGATCTTTTTACATTTCTTCTCCTTTAACTCAACTTATCTTTCACTCTTATCTGAATTGTAATCCGTAACGATAAGTGGTCGGTTCCAACTTTTTTTAGTTTTTGCATGTGTGTTTTTGAAAACATTGTTCATACAACGTGATTTTTTTTCGTAAATCAAACACTTTACTAATGTCGAAAATTATTTCTGTGTGGAAACATGCATCAGACTATTCAATCAAGTACAATTTCATTATAGTTTACTTAAAAAACTTTATTCATTCATTTTGATATCTAATTATATTATTGAAACAAGATCGAATAAATATTTAGCATTGTAATTTATCATAGACTTATTTGCAGTTCTTACTATTTATTGCATATATTTCGTACAGGCACTAGCAATAGTAAAGCAAATATCAGGTGAAAACTAGATTATATTTACAACAAATTAATCATGTTCATATCTAAAGAACATGTAATTAGTACACAAAACTAAAATAGAATTTGTAGTCTTATCGGTTTTCTGTTCACAGACAGATGTCAAAAGAGAGAAAACTCATGGAAGTAATTAGTGAAAAGCGCTATTAGTAGTTCAACAGGACTCTGATTTCATTGCTGTAGTCATCAGAAAATGGATATGGCTCACCAAGATCTTCATTTCATTTTTATAGAATCAGAAAAATGAGAAATAATCCATGACGTTAATTCATTTCTAATATCTGGCTATCCGGAAAGTTCATGCAACTCGTATTCTATGAAATCGTATGCTAACAAGTGTTGCATTTATTTAATGTCATGACCTACATTAGCAAATACACGTTGTCAATGATCAATAAAACATTGCAAAGTGTAGCACTTGTTATCGTACGGCTTCATTGAATACGAATTGCACAAACTTTCTAGACAATCAGATATCTCGATGATGAACAAGTCTGCAAGCTTGCAAACACAGCATTACGTCAGATTTTTTCAGAAACATTATTTTTGCTGCTTCAATCAATCGAATAGATAGTTATTTGCGTCTTTTCAACAATTTCATCTGTCACATATTTACATGTAAATGAAAATAGTGACACTTTTTTTTTATCAAGAACAACTTCAATCTATTGTCGAGAAAGACCTTTAGATGAGTTTTCTGCAAAAGAATCACAATAAATATTACAATTAACAAGTTTGTTATTAATTAATCATTTTATTATGGCTTCAAGTTAGATGAGAACCTCGAGATGATAGATCAGTATGGAATGATAAACTGAATAAGAGTAACAGCAAATAATCAATATGTTATGAAGCAAACTTGAGATATTTCACATCGTAATTGATCACGACTCCGTTGTACCTATATTGGAAGCATTTGATACATTGATGACAAGTTCGATTATCATCACTATTGACATTCGTACTTGAATCAGAGGAATTCGAATACAAAACATATCATATTAATGATTTTTCTGGAAGTATCAATAATCAATTTTTCTTTTCCATATAAATAATTAAAAATAAAAGAAAAACAAAACCTAAAGCAATTAAAAGGAGAAGCTATAAAAAAAATCTCTATGAATACCATGAGCTAAGGTGAATCAAATTAAAATTTAGGAATATCACAATTAATACGTTCTAAAAGCAGATGCCAAGCATGTTCAACTTGTTTTTGAGTGACACTTTCTGCCCAATAAGTACAAAGAAGAACATTTGCATATGGAAATCGTTCTTGATTTGACATTTGTATACTTAAACGACGTTTTGCTTCGTCAGGTGATAGGTGATCTCGTTCGACAACGCGTCGAATAGCCTGAAAAAAATAAATACATTTATTGATAGATAAATATATAAATCTTAAATAAGCAAAAATAAATACTTCTTTTGGAGGAATAGATGCAATCCATACTTCATTTACTGCTACAGTCCATTGTGCTTCAAGTAATACAGCTGCATCAAGTATAATTACACGTTTACCTAAGAGAATTTTTATTGAAGAATATATATCAAAAAACAAAAAATTTTCTTTACTACATACCTTCTTTAAATAAATATTCAATTCGTTCTTGTGTCAAATTTAAAATAGCAGGCCAAACAATATCTGTTAGTTTTTTGAGTTCATCAGATGATTGAAAGACTTTGTTACCAAGTATTTTTCTATCAATGGATCGATCAGTAGGATTGACAATTTCTTCACCAAATGTTGCGATTATCTTTTTATAAACATCAGTATCCACTTTATATGTTTCATGACCTGTATTGAGAAAAATGATTTTTCGAATGGAAAAGTCTTTAATGATTAAAAATAAATAAAATACTTGCCTAACTTATCACAATTAATAATAGCAGCACCAAGTTTTTCAAGTCTTCGAGCGATACTTGATTTTCCTGAACCGATACCACCAGTAAGACCAATCACGTAAGGTCGATTGGATTCGGCTGATTTCTATAATCATTATTAAATAATTAGAAGATGATATTATAAAAATAGCAACATTAAGTTACCAAAGGTGGTTTAAGAAGGATACTAAGCATTTGTCGTCGAAGTGAAGTGGAGCTTAATTTGTTATCTCCATCTTGATTATTATCATCAGCTGGAACCATTGGTATGACATGAACGGCTAATTGAGATAAACCATTTTGTTGTCTTTCTTTATTAACTTGTAATGCACCTTGTTGTGTTTCATCAGTAACAATAATACACTAAATAATGTATACTTATCTTCAAGAAAAGTGTGATTGTTTCTTTAAAAAGAACTTTACATTTAAATCAGCCATTGTTGCTGATGGACCACATGGATCTTCAATTGGTTCACAGTGTACATAAAGGCTAGGTCGAATTAAATCAACAAATGAACGAACATTTGACATACGATCATTCACTGGTTCAATCACTTCAGATAAAACCTTAGTAGACGTAATACATGGTAAGTACGTGATCTATTAAATTTTGTTTTATTTTTAAATTTATCAAAATTCCTCTTTAAGAAACATGACTCAAGAAAATTTTCAATAGAAATTACTTTGTTTTGTATCATAACACCATCAGTTACACCAACAACAATTTTCTCATCACAGAGTAGAGCACTTTCAGTTAACAATAATTTGTGTCCATTATGCAATCGATCAAATGTGCCTAACATAAAAAATCATGAGCTTAATTTTTATGATATATTTTAACTTACCACCCAAAACTCCTCGATTATATTGACTAGTAGATCTCGTATTAAATAAATCATTATCAAATGTAGGAAATTTATCAGCCGATTGATCTTCTGTCGCTTCTTTTTCATCAATGATTCGAAGTTCAAAATTCTGATCTAATTCATGAAAATGATCTCGACAATAGTTATATAATCCTGGTGATGGTGAACAATCAGCAAAAACTGCTTCACATATACGAGGTAATCGAATAGGATTTGTAGATTTTATTACTGAATCAACATTATGTAGAAGAATATCAACTGAAGGATTTTTTGTTACTGTTAAGTGTTTATATATGGCATATAACATTGGACGTATACGTTCTTTTTGTTGTTCACGATCAAATAATGTTTCGGATGATGATGATGATGATGATGATGATGATGATAATTGAAAATTTGAATTTTGAACAACAACATAAAGATTTCTTTCAACATATGGTATAACACAAGAAAGAATAAATGGGATACGTGAACGAATTGGATTTGTAATTAATAAAAGTGCTGTTTGAAATCGACGCATATTTTTTTCAGTCATGACAATGTATCGGGTATTTAAGAACACATCAATGAAATACAAATAATAATATTAATAAAAATATACAATGATATAAATCTAAATATTCTCTAGAAGAAAAATATGTATAATCAGAACAATTGTACTATTGCTGAAAAATAAACAAAATTCTCACATCATAATTCCATGCAAAAACTATGTCAAAACAAATAAACCTAAAAGAAACCAAACCTTCTAGCGATGCACTGCTGCTTATGAAGATTTCAATCGATCAATCTTATTACAACATTTATTTATAATTTCTTTTTTCTCTTATCAACCTTTCATAAGATGAGTTAATTGAACAATTCAAAGTTTTCTTTTCAACAACATGTACTATGTCATATGATTATCACAGTTTGATTGATGAAAATCAAATTTAATATTTCGATAAACACCGAATTTTCTCTTGATTTGTCAAATTTTTACTTTTGAAAAATAGAAAACAAAATATTTTATGTTTTGTTTGATTTTATTTTTAAAGACAAGACAACATCATCGATTGCACATAAAGTTACAAATATTGTTGAGAAAGAAAACAAACGAATGTGAATATCTATAGGTAGGCTTGATCGGAATGATAACTACTAGATTGTACGATAAATTTTTATAGAATGGAATAAAATATTTATTTTATATTCATTTAAATTTATTATTCAAGTGATGTTAATGTAGTAAGTTGTTTTAACACTTTAATTTGACTTGTTTCTCGTATCTCACCAGCTAAAAACATTTCATCGACTACTGAATAAACCTTGAAATACAGTAATTGAATAACTATGAAAACAAATATAGAGGTAAAAAAAGAAAACTCTTACTTTATAGAAATTGAAGACCAAATCAAGTTCACACACATTGTGAAAGAATCTTTTCATAAAGAAATATGTCAAATAATTTATATTTTGTTTTTTTTTTAATTTAACTTACTCATTGAGAACTTCAACAAAATTATGTATTGCTTCAAGATAAGCTAAATTATTATCATTAACATCTACACAAATACAAAAGTATAAGCCAGCATAACGACGATAGACTATTTTAAAATTACGAAACTAAAATTAAGAAATCATTTTCATCCATTAATCATTTTATATACATATATAATTAATCATACCTCAACAAAACTAAATAAATACAAAAAAAACGAAGCATTTAATAAAAGAAAGAACAAACACATTCAACTGACTTTGTATGTTTAGCATCGCGTACAGTAACCAAAGCATGAACTTCTTCAATTAATTTTTGTTTTTCATCATCATGAAAGTTCATGAACCTATCAAAGCAAAGAATATATATATATATATAATCAACTTTATATTATATTATTCACTATCTCAATAATTTCGAGACAATCTATCAATATATATCTTCTTCAACAAAACAACATACTAATATGAGTTAGAACTAAAGAAACTTAAATATTTTTTTCGCTTTACTATAAAACGTCTTGTTATAGAAGATGTCACTTACTAAAATAAAAAGATTTTCAAAAATTGAAAACTTGATTTATTTTAAGTAAGATGAAAAAAATGAAGATTAATCGGATATACTTTCATCTGTTTCAAATATTTGACCATCATGAATTCATCATAACTTTTACAAGAGACAACTGAAATTCTCATGAAGTTTTTATAGAACTCACATACATTTTCAAAGAAAGTAGTGATTGTCAATTTTAAATCGAGGTCTTGCGGCTCTCCTCCTCCTTTTTTAAATTCACAGTAAGAAGTATCAAAGGTAATTAGATACGAATCTTTCTTTAGCAACCGAGGACAGCAAGCATCAAAACCCTTTTTCATAATTTCTTAGCGACGAAAAAAACGTGCTGAACAGGATCAGCAACAAGATTTTGGTTGTTTCAGAACATTCCAAATCTTTAGCTGTCTCAAAAATATACTAAAATTTTGTTTAAAGACTATTTCAAGAGAGTTTGTGAATGCATACCATTTAGCCAAACGAGTTTTTCCAGCTCGATTTTGTATAAGAATAAATCGAATCATAATTGATTTAAATAAAATTCGAATTATCTAAAAGAAAAAAATCAAAGAAGAAGAAAAAAAAAGAAACAAAAAGAAATGTTCATTTTTAAAGTTTAGTTGTCAAAAATACAAATAACCATTTAATAATAAATCCTATAAGTTGAAATAAAAATCTGGGACAAAAAATTTTCCATAACATTAAATGTCGTCTTAATATAAATACACTTAATGATGTTATCATTAATTTAAAACAATCAATAATTAAAATTTTTTTAAATAATTCTGTTTGATATTTCTTTTGATACATTTTTCGAATAAAAATAATATTTAATATCTGACCAGAAAATGTTTCAATAAGAATAAATATTCCACGTACAATTAATGAATTTATAATTAATGAAAGATAAATATTTATTGAAGAATTTAATGTTGGAAATGCTGCTGTCCAACGTATTTGTGAAAGAACTGGTTGATGACCAGTTGCATAAAAAAAATAATCAGCTAATATAGATAAAAGTAATGAAACTGATTGATTATTATCATTAAAAATAATATAATAAATAAAATATTGAAAAAATATCACAAATGAAAAACGATAACCAACAACAAATATAAGAATAGAATAAATTAATTTATCAAAACGACTTGGATTTAATAAAACAAAACAAATCTGAATCATAATACTCACATAATATATTGATAATGTATGTGGAATATTAAACCAATAACCAACTATAGATATATATGATATATAAGGTAAGAAATACGAATAATTACATGTTAAAATAAGAATAATTAACCATACAATAGCAGATATAAATGAAAGAAAATAATCCGAAGTATCTGAAAATTTTTTTACAAGCCATATTGAATCAATACAATATGGTAATTGTTCTTCACGACAAATTAAAAATGCTCGAGTTATGAATAATAAAAGAGAAAGAAGAAATTTTTTTAAAATTTTCATTTTATTTATTAATATAATTGTTTGAAGAAGAAAATAAAGACACATTGCTTCATTTATAATAAAACTATTTGAAAATGATATTATAAAATACATTAATAGAAGACTAATATTAAAGATCATATTTCTATGATTAATTAACATTATGAATGATTTTAAATAAATTAATATAAATATTAAACATGATATTAACATTAAAATTAAACCAATTATAATTCGAAATATATTAAATGTTGACCATTGAAGACGAAAATGTGTTTGTAATTCAAATTTAAATTCATTAAATAAATTTTCAATCATTGTTAAATTTCTTTCTCTATTAAATGATATAAATATAGTATGTAAATTAGAACGTAATTCTTGTAATTTATCTGATAATGGAAGTGTAAATGAAATATGTTTTAAATAAATTTCAATTTGTTCAAAATTTAATTTCATTGAAAAATAACGTTGTTCTAATGGTATGATATCAGTAATCATCATACCTAAACTTGAAAAAGGTATTAATATATGAAGAAACCATGAAAGTGTTGGAACAAGATCTATTTGTGAAACAGTTTTTTCATTTTTTTGTGATAATGAAAAATAATTTGGCTTATTTGTATAAATAAACATAGCTGTTTCAATTTCATTTAATTCATCACCACCATGATCACCTTGTTGTGTCATACCATGATCACCAATGACTATTAAAAGTGATGAAGAATTTGATTGATTAAATAATAAACTTATATTTCGTATAACATCATCCATTTGATTTAATTTACGTTTCATTTCAATATGTAATGGACCATATCGATGACCACAATGATCAACACCTAACAAAATTTATTAGACAACAAAATGAAATAGTAAAGATAATTTTTTTTTCGGAAATTTAGATTTATAGAAATATAATAAAAGTTCATAGATATCAAATATTTTTCTTAAGAAAAATAAAATAAAAACAAAAGAATGATACCTTAGTTTTGATTACTCTATGTAAGTTCATTTTATTTATAGAAAATATATATGTAGGTAATTGATTGAAATACCGTTTTCTAGAGAAAAATTGCAGCAATCATTTGAAAAGAAAATAGTTCGAATTCCATCGAGATCATAAATAATTATAGTTCCTCTATTAAACATGACTAACCATTTTACTTCTTCTCATTTTTTTTTTCTGGGGCAAAAATAAGAATATTCTCTCAATGTCTAAGTTATTGAAATTGAATGAAATATTTATTTCTATATATACAAAGCACTGACGAATTCAGGTAGACTCATAAAAATCTCACATTCATTGAAAGCGAGACTATGCTTAACTTTGAGTAACATTCGTTGATCGACTTATAATGAATGTTTCGAGATGTAGTGTAAAACACTGAAGCTGAAACTAATCCTTCCGATCTACATAAACATACAGAATAGTAGATTAGCTATAATTATTAATAGTTCAACATACTCTCTGATGTTGAATACATGAAATTCTTGTTAGTCTTACTGGTTTTCTCCAAGTTTTATATTAGAAATTAGAGACGTTTCAAGCATAATATATTTCGGCAAAACAAGTAAGATATAAAATATTGAGTTATGATCAATAAAGTAATCATAATTTTTCATGATGTCGATATCATTCGAACTATTTTCTGTTCAACTTATAGCTGCAATCTCACTCTACAAAACTGTTTATTTCAGTCAACTATCTATATATTGATTTACATAAATAATCTTAATTTACGGAAAGGGAGTCAAAATTTTCGGGTCATTCTATAGATTTCTAAGCTGCCAATTGAACTAACGTTCTTCGCATAATTTATCGACTTAAATGAGATTTAATTTACCTAAAAAATGAGCAATAATAAATGATAATTGTTCATGACGAGTGTCTTCAATAACTGTCCATAAATGTTTAAGAATTCCATTATCAACTGTATCTAAATCATGAACATCAAATGATGGATAAACATATAAATGTTTAAAATTTATATTTGGATAAAGTGCTAACCATGTGTCATCACCTAATAATGAAATATTTCTTTGATAAGGAGTTTTTATCAATTGATTTAAAATGTTATCTTCTTCAATTTCATAACCTATAAAATTATATGATACATCAATAAATGTTGGTAATGTACCAGTTGTTAATGCTTTTAAACGTTGAAGTGTTGTTGTTGGTGGATCAGCAATTAATCGTAATAGAACAGATTGTTTAGGTGTTGTTTCAAGTAATTCTTTTACAAATGGCATTTGATTTAAATAATTATTATTTATTGAACCATTATTTGGTTTAATAAAATCATAACGAAGTGCATCAATAACAATTAAAATAACTTGATTGAATTCAATCGGTATTGATGATGGAATAGTACCCACGGAGTTGTGTAAAATAACACGACGTGTTAATAAAAATCCATTGAGAAAAAAAATGAGACCGATTACATATAGAAAATTAAGAGATAAAAATTTATAAGTCATATCTAAAATATAAAACAGACTAAAATATGATATAATGTTTGAGATTACATCGAAATGATGTATAATTTCGTTCGAGTTCAAGTAAATGATTAATATCAAAATCAATTGTACCATTTAGGTCAATTATACGAACATTTATCATTAATGAAAATATTAATAATAAACGATCAAGTTCAACATTTTCAATATGAAGAATAAGTGAATATAAAGATTCATTTCCAGTTAGATGTTCAATATCTTTATCCATATATTCTCGATTATGATCATTAATACGTGCACTTAAGTGACGTAATTCTCGTAATTGAGATATTAAAACAATAAAATCACTTGAAAAACAGTCACAATCAATAATAACTCGTCGAAGTTTACTTAAATTATTTTTTTCTTCAACAAAATATAAATTTGTATGAAAATGACATTGTATACAACGAAGATCTAATTGTTGATTCAACAAAATTTTAAATATTTCATTTAAATGTTTTTCATTTTGAATATAATTTGTATCAATAAAAATATTTTTTAATTGACAATGATGAAGTATTATTCTTAATTCGTTTAATTTAACATGATATAATTTAATTGTTAGTAAATTTATCAATGAAATTGAACGAAGAATTATTTGTAAATAATTTAATTCATCCGATATTGATAAATAACGAATATAACAAGCAATATGTGGTAAAATATAATTTTTATAAATAGAAAATTCAAACGGTTTTAATGAAATCATATTTGCTTGAAAACAATTATGTCGATCAATAATTAATAAATTGAAACGTTGATTTAAATTAAGAAATGCTTGAAATAGATCTAATACATCAAGATAATCAAATATTTCAAATAATAAATCATTTGAAAGATGACTCAATAATGATATTTGTTTCATCTAAAATTAAATGAAAAAATAATAATGAAAAAGAAAAAAATTACATTATCACTGAATCGGTAAGCCAAGCAATGAGAAATATCACATTATTTGAAAAAAATACAAATAAGACAACGAAACAAAATTACAAACATTAAATACAAAGACAAGTTTCATATGAACATGAAAACACAAGAATTTGAGATCGAATATAAAAAGACCACATATTTATATCTGAGTATTGAGCATAATTTGTATGTTTTTGTTCACCAATTATACTCGATTATTTTTGTCGTTTAATTTTTTTACCAATCTAAAAAAAAATAAATTAAATTTTTTGTAAATATTAAACAACGAAAACAAATAATTTTTGTTTAATTTTACTTGTGGATGGGTTTTGTCATCAATTAATTCAATAATATTTTCTTGTTTATCAAAAAGATTTTTATTTAATTGCATTGAAGTTTTTGCATCAGAATTTTTTGTACAACGTCGCATATCAGCAACTATTTTCAATGCACATGATCGATAAACATGATGAACATCACGTAAATGTCTTGGCATATCAAGACGCGATATTATTGATGAACATGGAGCTTTCATTATATATTTTGGTTGACAATCAAATGGATTTTTTGAATCTTGATTAAATGGACATGCTAGATGAAAATTTTTATTATATAAAATATCTTTTGAACCAAAAAGTACGGTTACAACGGGATCACGTTGTCGTAAAACAGCTTTACAAACTTTATATGCACTACGGGCTGTCATATGATGGAAACTTTGTAAATGATTATAAAGACAACTTGATTTTCCTTCACATAAACGAACATTATGTATTGGAAGAATTCCAAAAACACCAGAACGTGTTAAAGGACATGGACCACGATATATCGTTACAGATTGATTTATATTTGATGATGATGATGATGATGATTGATTGTTTGATGCCTTATGTCGACGATGATCTTCATAATCCTTAAAGTTTAAAAAAAAACATAGCATCATTAGTATAAAGAAAAATTTTTCACTGGCCATTAAAAAAAAAATTAAATTAGAAACTGTAGAATTGAAACAACTACATCAACTATTGTTTAAACAATCTATAAATTAGACGCAAGTCGAGATATGTTAAAAACACATTTCTATCATATTGAAAATTTATTCTAATTCGACGAATAACAATAATTTCTTCCTAGAAAAAAAAAAAAATATTTCATTCTTACTGAATCAGGTTCACCGATATCACTAATATTATTATCACTACGTTCTCCTTCGTCAACTAATGAACTAAACACAAAATAAGATAAAATAAATTTCAAATTTATACGCATATTTACTCTTCAGATTTATTATCTTTATTTTCAATTGATAAACTTGTACTATTCGATACTAAAACAGACAGGAATACAACAACAAAAGAAAATTTTATAAATTACTAACAAGAATTTGATGCAATATGATTTACATGATTATTTCTAGAAAGAGATAAAAAAAAAACCCCACAGAAACATAAGATGAAATATCAATTTAATTTAAAAAACTTACTCATGATGATCAAAATCTTTATTATCCATAAATTCATTTGGTTCAATTTTAATATTAACAGGTGTGTCTGAATTTGAATAAACACGTTCTCGTTGTTGTTCACGTTCAATAGCAATATCTAATTTTTCTAAATATGTTTTCAGATCGTTTGTTGTTGATTGTAGTTCAAGTATAGATGTTGCTTCTGTTTTTAATTGATGATAATCATATCGTCGTTGTTCATATGTACGTCGTATTTCTGTACAAGCAATTTCAATATCACGTTTTTCTTGTTCATTTAATTTTGTTTCATCAATAAGTCTATTATAAAGAGAAAAACGTCGTTGTATTTTTCGACGAAGTTCAGTTGGTAAATCATTCTTTTCTTGTTCATATATACGATGATGTTCTTGTAAATGATCAAAACATACATAACGTTGACAATGTTTTACACATAAAAATGTATCAGTACTTGAACAACAAGGTTCACTGCAGATTACAACATCGGATGACATCTGAAAAAAACAAATATTTCACTTTTTTTTTAATAATGTATTATGTAATTGATTACTTATTGAATAGAATATGTTTTTGAACAATTATTTAGAAGTTAGAACTTAGTAATAAATTAATTTATTGTTGATAATCATTTTTTTTAAATGACCTTGAAAATCCTATTTTATTTTATTTTATTTTATTATTAGATTTATTATCGTTCTCTATTATATCTAAAAATGTCAAAGACCATCGTTTTTTTTCTCTTCTCTACCTGATGATACACATGTTCTAAAATAAAAATTAATCTAACCAATATCTGAATGGATTATAGAAGGTCGTTAATAAGATGTCGCTCTTACACAATGAATGATGAATTTCGTTTTTTTTCATGTGGTTTAGTATTATATAATAGTATTTCATCCTTAATATTTCTATTTGATACGATATTATATTTGCTTTTCTTGGTAAAGTAAGTTGTTAATAAACAATCTTGGGATATTTAATTTCAACGACTGTTTTAAAAAGTTTATGATCATTATCACAATATGAAGGTTTTCTTTAAACTTGTTTTCGAAAAATATCATAAATGCAATATATCCTAACAATCAATTATCTAGGATTGATGTCATTAGTCTAATGACATCATATAGTTGATATTTGCTTGTAATTTCAATTCATATAGAAGTGATGAAATTCATCTATTCAGAAGATTAGTATTGATGAGTATCAATATTAAGTTTAAATTAATTACAGTCAATCATGTAGCCATCGAGTCAGTTTTGTCTTGTTATTAATATAAATGTTGTTTATTAGAGAGCAGATTCGTTTTTTTATATAGGAATGTAATGGATAGGGATAAACTTCTGCATTAATTTTGCTTTGAGTATAGCGTGACAGCAAGCAACCCATCATGACCACTGGATAATTTTCTTCTTTGACAGAGTCAAGTCTTTATCACAAAGTTGTATAAAACTATTTGGTTCAAAATACTTTTCGAAGTCTGAAAAGTTTTAAGAGCATATTTGACTAGACAATTTTTTCTGTACACTTCTGGAATTTAGAAGAGAGTCTTTATTTATTTAGAAAATTGGTCTTATTTTTCTGATTTTTATTCGGTTTTGTAGCGCTACGAAACAAGATTGTAGACAAGTAAAGCTAATATTTTCAACTTATTGATTAAGTTCGAAATCGACATTTTTCTAACAGCCTTTATTACTGAAAAATGTTCACAAATAATAAACTAATTTGAAAAATAAAATTTTTTCCAACAATTAATGTCAGTGAAACCTCATATTTTATGTTCGATTCATGTTTAGTGAACTCTCTATAAAATATATGACATAAAACAGTATACAGTTTTTTCTATGAACCTTGATAATAAAAATTTCATTTAGTGTCATAATCATAAAGTTCCATGTTTTATCTTCTGGTAATGATAAACGATGTTACAAAGGCTCTGGCATACTTTCAACTGTCTTTTTCAAAAGAAAAAGATTTTCATTGATAAGAAAAATGCAAAGTTCGTGATACATACTCGTCGATTAGTGAATATACAGGATGGGCTAAAAGTCACCATAAAGTCTTTGATTGCAAATAATTTTTGACAGAAACAAGATAGAGACTTACATTTTCGCCATCAGATAGAGCAGCCTCTATGACGTCTACATGTATAAGAAAAACTAGTTTTGAGGAAGATTTCAATAACTATTTTTAAATACATATTTTTTTCGTTATGCATCTTCATGGTAATCTTAGCTCAGCTGACACCAAAATGTAGCTGAAAGAACGCTCTGTTAGTAATAAAATCCTTAGACTTTCAAATTAACATTTTCAAGGTATGAGTTTAACAGAATAAAAGAAGGGTGTGAAGACTTTACCGCTAGTAGAGTATTCTTCGGGCTGCATTTTGCAGTGAGTTAAGCTAAGATTATTATGAAAATCAATGGAAGTGCACATCGAAAAAGATATGTTTTTGAAAGCAGTTATTGAAATCTTCTTCAAAACTAAATTATCTTATGTAGGTAGATATTCTAGAAATTGTTCTATCTACTGACGAGAACTGTAGGTCTCTTTCGTGTTTCTCTCACAAGCAAAGATTGCCCCATGATTTTTGGCTCAATCTGTATACCAATCTTGAATAAATACTTTTCCAAAAAGATCTAGATTGGATAGACACATAATAAGAACTGTACGTTTACGAGCTCTGAAAAAAGAAGAATAGAAAGTTTTTTTTTGTGTTTTAGGAAATGCCTGGTATTGATTCTTTCTTTTCGAACTTTTCTTTACAAAAATGAAACATTACTTCTGATTAATTTCGTATATTTTTTTTAATCATCCAATATTTTTTCCGAATTTTTTAACAAGATCAATATCGTCTATAAACAATGGCTATGACTACTTTTATACGTAAATTATATTTGATATTAAAACATTTATAGTGACATATTATAAATCAATATTGACATACAAATACTTATACATAAAAAACAAAGACAATTATCAATCTAAATAGTAATGTCGAAATGCTGAATCTCCAATTAATAAATAAGTCATTATAAATGTCTCATTGATAATGAATTCAACAAAAAAAAAAGAATTTCTTATATATTTATACTCGTTTAATATGCACAAGTTTATTTTTACATCTTTCTTTTTCAATATTATTTTTTTGTTATCGATAAAAGCCTTTAGATGCGTACTCTAGTCAATAACTCACTCATATGTCATTTTCTGTGCAATATATTCGTAAGAAATGAGCTTTAGTTAATACCACCCGTGTTTATGGATACTGATAAAAATGTAGACGAGTTTCAAAGGCTGTCTGTAACCTACGTTTTTAAGCGTAAAAAAAAACATCGCCGCATAATGAATGTTATCGTAGAAAGGGAAGAGATTAATAAAACAAGCGTTCTTTTTGTCGGCTAAAGATATAATCTTAGAATTTTTTACTCCGACTACGCTCTCTCTATTCTTCCTAGTTTACTTCATTGAATAATTAAAAGAATTGATCATTTTTGTCTGTTTCTGTGTCATACTCACAATTGCGTGTATCTTTATGCTGATGATGACTCATCTACAATCTTTATGGTTTATCTATTACTTTGAGTGATTAGACATTTGAATAATTACTTTCTTTTCTCGAATATTATTTATTGTTTCTATTAGAAATAACAACCATTAAAAAGTTTTCTAGTGCATAACAAAAAATAGGAAATTTATATCTATGATGCACGTTTGTTTGGATAGATTGGCATACTTTGAAATTACAGACGACACTTCACAAAAGCATAGAATATTAATTGAACTGAAGTACAAAAAAAATGTTACTTTAGCAACTACTCATACGTGTTATATGATTATTATTGATACATCTATTGTCATAATATCTGTTTGATATGTATCAATGAAAGTTCTTTTGAACAATATTCTCACTTCGATCTCTTCAAGATCAAATTGCTATTTCAATTTCAATTTCCTTTTCTATTGAATTCATTCAAACTTTTTTTATTAATCACGAATTCAGGTAGAAATCAGTTGTCTATTATGGAATTTCGTTTAGAACCTTTAGTATAATTTGAATTATTATTTCCATACTAGCATAAAAATTTATATTCAATGCCATGCTTTCAAGAGTACAATACCCTATTGTGCAATATATTTTCAATATGCCATCAATATTCTTATGTTCATGTCTAGCAATCTGTTTCTATTTAAAAAAATTAATAGAAGAGGAAGAATCGTTCTGTTTGTTTTTATTTAATGGAAGTGGTGCTTTTTCATGGTTTATGCCCCCTCCGTTAGTTGTTTCTTGTTTAATTAGTTGTGGATTGTTCGTGTTGTGACGCTATGAGATGTCACTGCTAGACATGAAACATTTTCAAGTTTTGCAAAAGTATCATTATTTACAGAATAAGGTCATTTCTACGTATAATATCAAAAAAATGGCTAGTATTTCTAAATTATGATTATGAAGAATTAGTTTTTACTAACAACGAGCATAGTTTTCAGAATCAGCTTGCACAAAGCACTGGAAACTCTATCTTTCATTTGAAAATACTTTTAATCAATTTTTATCTGAAAGGAATACGCAGCTTAAAATTTTATGAATAAAAAGCTGAGGGAAGCCAAGTGAAAGTTTTAACTACAGGTTTTCTGGGATGAAACATAGAGAGTTTCTGATATATTTTTGCATCCCGATTCCGAAAACCATGCTTATTTCTAATCAAAACCAATTTTTAATAATCCAAATCTAGAAATACCAGCAGATCTTTGGTGTGCTACGTGCAATCGACCCTGTTCTAACAATAATGATTTGCTTAGTAAGACAGAAAAATATAAAGTTTGAATCAGATTTTTTCAAACGATAATACCATTCACTCTACAAAAAAAATAATAAAACAAGGAAGTTTACTGTGAATATATGCAATATTTTCTTTAATCATGTTATGTGAATTCTTGATCAGGATCTAGACTTTCTCTCTTCAGAAGTTCGAATCTTATCTATATAAGTTATTTTGAATGACTGTATAAATCTACACTGATGATAAAAATTGCATCTTTTAACCTTTTATTTCTCCCCCCAATCAATGACAGTTCGTGAAGAGTCATTTATGAAACGGTTATTGATGAAATAGAGTATTGATCTCTTCAGTTGACCAATAGTACACTGCATCTATTAGGTGCACTTCCGCGTGTATCTGGTAATTGGACAACTTCAGTTACGAATGAGGGGTCCATCGACAAAAACATATACTATTTTGAGTTTTTTATTGAGTAGCTTGTTGATTTCGAAAAAAATACGATCTATTGTTTGTAATTTAACAACACGAATGAAGAAGAAAATAATACATTAAGAGATTTTCTCTTTTTTACAACATGTTTTTTCAAAACGATTTTCTGTGTACTTAACATCTATTGTTTTGGAAGTAAGCATTTGGATGTATAGAATGTCGTTCGAGTATCTTCTCGTCTAACAGCAATACTCATACCAAACATTTATATAACAATTAGTGATGCT